TCATAACTATTTCGGATGATCTATATACAGATATCATCTTCATATTGTATGCAATTTACGACGTTATGAAGTAGTGAATGAATGTTGGCAGAATATTATATATTAAATAGTATAGGGCTAAGTACTGACCCCTGTGGCAACCCATGAAAAACAATCCTTGGACCATGTAACACATTTCTAGGATCTATAATATAGACATATCAAGAAAAATATAGTTTCAATATATTTAGGGCAGTCATTTCACTAAGACCAATCCCTATCATTTTTGGTTTAAGTATATTTATATTAACAGAGTCGTAAGCCCCTTTTATATCTAGGAATAAAAAAGCTAGATACTTGTTATCAGAAATAGTAATTTGGATGTCATTTACTAAATGAGTTACTGCATCCAAAGTATCATGTCCCCTTCTATAAAACCGTATTGATTATTAGGTAAGATATTGTTATACTCTATGTACCACTCCAGTCTTGTTTTTATGATTCTTTTAAATGTTTTAGTTATACATGACATTAAAGATATAGGGCGATAAGAGGAAGGCATATTTTTATCTTTAGTTGGTTTTAAAATTAAACAAATGGTAATTTGTTCTCTGGCTGCCAATGTTCTCTTTCGGTCCTTCAAGCATATTTGGCACAAAACTAGATGCTACAATATCAAAAATTTGGTTTATTAGTTCTTCAGATCTAGGATGTTTTTTAAAAGTTGAGTTTTTGTTAGATATTTTTAATTTTAATTTATTAATAAAATTTTTCCAGCATAATTGTTGTTTTTGTTTAAAAAGTAGTTTAGCTTTGGCCTGAATATGCTTAAATTTGAGATAATTTTCGTAATTCGTGGTATTTTTATATTCCAGATATGCATCTTTCCTATTATTAACAATTACGGTGCAATCATTATCTCACCAAACAGGATTTGGAGGTTTTTTACTTTTACCTGAACGAGATTTCAATGATTTAGAAGCTGCATCATTTATTACTTTCATGAAAAATTCAAAGGAAGTATTATCACTGTTATTGTTATAAATTTGTGTTTCAATTATATTTTAAAAAAGCGTTCAGTCAGCTGAAGATTCAATCCATTATCTAGAAGGTGTTTTGTTAGTGGGGATACATTTCCGAGATATATTAATATGGATAGGGAGATGGTCGGAACCAAGTGTATCATTTAGAGGATTTCGTTCTGAGTAACTTAAAATACTAGGTGAGATAAAAGTAAGATCTATGGCAGAAGGTCGTTCGTTTGATCTAACTATCTTAGTAGGTCGTCCGTCGTTTAAAATAATCAGGTTAGTTTCATCTATAGCTTCTACGAGTCAATTTCTTTGCGAGTTATGTATTGTAGAACCCTAAAGGCTGCGATGACAGTTAAAGTCTGTAGTTGTGAAAAAAGATTAATCCAATCGGTCTTAGTTGCTTTTATTTTGGGATATTTATAAATGGAGGCTAAGGATATCTTAGACTCATCGATATATGCTGCGTATACTTCTATTTTGGAATTAAAGTTTTTACGGATTGAAATTTCATGATAGATAGGGAATCTTTGATAAGTATAGCATTGCCTCCAAATCCATTAGTTCTGTCTAAATGTAGTATATTGTAAGTTGGTGTGAATGGAAAATTTTCTTTTTAGATAACCAAGTTTCATTAAGTATATTTAAATAAAAATTAACATAGTAATTGTTAAAAAAATTAGGAAGATTAGATTTTTTTTAGTAATGCAATTACAATTCTATTGCAATATATTCATCATCTACTTAATAATAATTTTCATCACTATCACTATCACTATATTATATTGTATCTTTTTTTTTTTAGTTCTGTTTGTGTTTCCCGAATAACTAGTGGATCTGGGTTTACTAAATTAAATTTGTTTAACATATTTTCAGAAATACAAGGAAGTTTCTGCAGGATCTGCAATTCTAATTTTTCTTTGTATGACTGAAAGGCTTCCCTGTGTGGATTAGGAATAACAATATCTAAAGCGCTATTTTTAAGTTTAAATGAAGGGGGTTTATTAACTGAAAGTGGCGAACTTACTTTGCGCTTTTTCGGCTGTTGGAAATGAGGACGTGGTACCCAATTTTTATTACTTGTGGAAGGGGAAATGTTCGTATCAATATTACCATTCAGCTTAGGGAAATTATTTCGGTTATTTAAAATATCGAAATTATTATGTGTTACTATTTTAACGTAAGACGGATTTCTTACAATACCTTCAGCTTCTTTAAATGATACATTTTTTTCAGACATGATTTTTTTAATTTTTAAGTGTTCCTGGTATTTCAGGCAATTTTTTAATACAGACTGATGGTCATGCGTTTCACAGTATATGCAATAAGCGTTAGAAGTGCAATCGATATCATCATTTTCATCGTGGTTTTGGCCACATTTTTTACATTTTGTCATAGTCATCATCATCAACTAGCCTCTAACGTCCACTGCTGAACATAGGCCTCTCGCATTCTTTTCCACTTAGTCCGATTTTGCGCCATCTGAATCCAATTTGTAGTCACTCTTTTTATGTCATCTGTCCATCTCGTTGGGGGTCGACCTCTATTTCTGTAAGCTTGTATTCGGGGTCTCTATTCCAAAATTCTTTTAATTAAATTTAGTCATAGTGCTTCTGCAGTATTTTGCTGTATGACCATATGGAAGGCACTTATAACACTGTACGACAGGGTATATGTATGGCTCAACAGCAAATCTCACTAAATCCATTTTAACAAATTTTGGCAAACTATTTCCTAAAAATGTTAATACGATCATCTGTCTTGGGACAAACTGTGTCTCATTATCGGAATCAATGATCCTACGTTTCATTCTTTTAACTTCTACAACTTTTTGCCCACTTTCAGTATTCTCCAAAATATACTTTTCGGACAGAAAAGTGTCAACCCCTCTAATAATTGCCTTTTTATGGTTAAAAAATATAGGTATATAAGCGATCAAATTATTATCTTTTATTAATTTATGTTCTATAATAGCATTTGCAGTTTTAAAGTCTTAAAAATAAATTTTACCTTATTTCTTCCAATCAATTTTATATCAGTAACATCATTATTAAAAGTAGTATGTTTAAATAGATAATGACCAACTTTTACCGCTGATAATCGACTATTTTTATCAACTGGTTCTACAACAATATAGTACGGTCCAGTGTTAGTCGCAACGTATTGTTGTCTAAATTATATATTTTGTTACCAATTTAAATTTTGTTTTGCCTACCGTTTCCATCTGGTGGGTCTTTTCCAGACGGGGAAGCATCCCCGTCGGAAGAGTTACTCAATTTAAAATTATAAACTTGTACTTACGTTATCTATGAGCTTATGAAATAACAAACCAAAACAAACCTGCCTAAATTCGAGCAAAATGTAATTAAGCGCGCTTCACGAGCCAACCTTATAGTTCTGTATAGAAACACCAAGACTGTATTCACTACAGGATGTGATTTGTTCATTATTCTCCAGTTCGATATTGGATAAATCAACTCCTATTTATTACAGAAGAAATTACATTGGACAGAAGAAATTATCTGTGCAAGTTTGTCCGGCGCGGAAACCGGTCTGTTCTTCTTCTTCTTGTTCCCTATACTTTATCTCAATGAGATTTTTAAGAATGCGTCCGTACACGCGGCTTAGTGTACTAGTTACCGATATTCCTCTGTAATTTGAGCAGTCTAACGTCCACTTCCAGAGCAACGTCTGGCTTCGTCGACCAGGTATCTAAACTTAGGGTAGTCTCTCGATCCACTCAAATGGCCCTTTACATTGCAGTTCATTCAACACTTTATCTTAGCCGTGCATTCCCTGAAAATGTGCCCTTCTTGGCTACATCCCCAGCATCCCTTGCGCTCTTCTTCCTTACATTCATTCCTGGTATGCCCATAGGCTTGACACCTATAGCATCGCAGGATATGCACTTTCTCCCCTACAAGACATGCTACAAAGCCAACCTTCAGTCGTTCCTTTTTTAGCAACACATTCGCAATATTCTTATCGACCTCCACAGTAGCGTTTAAGCCATTCCATAAAGGCCTGATTCCTAGCACATCGCATGACGCATTGCTGCGAGCACCACTCTGGATTGCGGCAGCAACATCCTTGGCTGTCGTTATCGCATCCATACCTATCAAGAGAAGTTTTCTCCTCGCTGTACCACCCTGTTCGTCACTTTAGCAACGTAGGGAGGCATCGAGGTGACAACTTCTCTGACCCTTTCTACCACCTCACTACCACCCTCCAGCTCACTACCCCTTGTTTTTTGTCTTTCGCACTTTCTTGACAATAATATCAGTTCTGTCACACAGGTCCGTCCTGAGCCCCAGTAGAAGTTCGGCATACGTTTTGTCCTTCATCTTCTCTACCATCACCACTCCATTTTTCACCTTGGGCTTGATCACTCTCGCCTCTTTACCGCTTTTTCCAAACTCTACAACCTTGAAGCTCCTGTCTTTGAACGCCCACTCCTCAAGCTTTCTGGACACCTCAGTTCCCAAAGCTGCCGGAGCGGCAAGTCCAACACTCATTCTCCCTACTTTTCAATTTTTCCCCCCAGCAACTTACACACCGACAGGAAATTCACTGCCATAGGATCCTCTCCCTTTCCAAGAATGAGCTTTTATATGCACTTTTCCGTGCACATCTGTTGCCTATTCCTCCGACAATTTAAGACAATTTAATTATTTATTTCTTTGAATAAAAAAATAAAACAATAAAAAAATAGTGTTAATGATTGATGTAGATAAGTATCCTAGTTGATTTATACAGTTGTACAATTGCTGTATTATTGTTTTTTTTTTAACATTTAGCTATATATCTAACTTATGCCTCACAGTTTATATTAAGAGTTTTCGGTTAATACATTATTAAATATCTTTGTTACCAAAGCTAATTAGTATCGTATTATTATAGCTTTTCATAGTATGTCTCGTACGGAATAAATATAAGTTATTTTATATTCCTAATTATGAAATATATGTAATAAATTTTTTTTATTTTCAGGGAGGTTTCGAGGATGTATCAAACTGTCCGGAGCTAGACAATTCGGTGCAAGTGTGTATCAACTCGTCGAGAGATTTATCTAGACACTTAGCGAACGCTGCTATATATCAGGCTCAGGACTTAAGCAGTGTAACGAAACAGGGACTGGAATTAGTTGGTGGGATTAGGCAACACGCAACTATGTCGGAAATCGATAGACTGCATCATACCTCAAATGCCTTTCATGATTCCATTGACCATATTTTAGAGGTGAGATATAAACCTATCGTACACGTTCCATGAAAAGTAATCTTAAAATTGTATTAAAATAGTATAGATAAAACTAATAATTGTTATTTTGTTAATTTGGGATTTACCTGAACCTTTATTAGTATAATATAGATACCTTAGAACACAATTGTGCTATGTCCTCAGAGTACTATTTTTAGAAAATGCAAAATAAAGTTTTGCGGGTTCCATTACTCAAGTAATGCATATAATTCTGTATTAATAATTATTTTTCTGACTTGATGCAATCCAAAGAGAATATTTACAATAATAATTTGAGTTATTTCTAAAAGATTTTCTAATAAATTAAATATTTACTTAAATTTATATGGACGTATCACTTTTGTACTGTATAGACTTTTGCAACTCTGGACATGGTAATATTAGTGTTTTTTACTTTGAATTTATTAAAGATCACGTACTTATTTATATTATAATAATTTCCAGGTAGGGTTAAATAACAGTAAATAAGTAAAAAAGAATCAGTAAATAACAGTAGTACTGACACCTAGGAGGAATAAAATAAAAGGTAAAATATAAGCCAAATCTTAAGTTCTACTTAATTAAGTAGAAGTCTTAATTAAGTAGAACTTATAAAAATACAATATTTAAATACTTAGAAACCAAATTAATTGTAGTTCGAATCCTACTCTTCTTTTCGGTTCAACACTGTCTCATCTTTCTCTCTTTTAGCCGAGGCAAGATGAAAAGTAAGCTAATAAAGTAATAAAAATTAAGTAATTCTCGTTGTATCACGCCATACTTCAGAAGATTTAGCAAGTCCCTGTTTTGCAACTGAAATGTCGAAGCTTCTGGGGTATTGTCGTTTTAAAGAAATTTTCCCATTGGATTTCTTGAAAGTTAATTTTTATATAATTAAATTTCCCATGTACGTCATCGTCTTTGAAGCCATATTTGTCAACATTTTTTTTAAATCTGAACCATTTAACTTTTAGCCAGTTTAATATTTTGCCATGAATTTTATTTCTCTTTTGCAAAAACTGATTTGACAAGTTATCTGTCATAAATGTCGTCGTACGCTAGCTGCTGGACACTGTATGGAAAGAGTCGTTTTTTGCTAAGTTTGAGTTATAATTTATATTCATTGTTGTTGTAAACATTATTGAATGCCAAGATCGTTCAATAGTGACATCAATGCTGCCGGCCTTAAGGTAGCTATGGCCACTTTCCATATATTTAATATCAATAAATTCTAAATTATAGGTACTTAAAATATAAAACATACTTTCAAGTACAATGAGATTTTGATTTTGCTCTCCACAAGTGTCTACGTAGAACATGAAATGTATATCTGGATCTAATGATTCAGTGTACTTTGATCAGCAAGTTGTTATTTTGGCAATTCTCTTTTTTCATTTTGTCTCATCCCATAAAAAAACAGTGCCCTTGATTACGCGAATCAAAGATGGTAAAACTAGGTAGAGAAAGCTTCTGTTCTGAAAGTTTTTGATATTTTTTCGTGTTCATTTCTTTGATTCTCTTTGCCTTGTTTCACAGAGAACATTGGTCCTTTTTTACCTAAATTGCTAAAGAAGATGCATGTTCCGCACCTCGTTTAGCAATTTCCCAAAATATCTTTTCAAAAACGATGTTTTTTACTACTTGTTCTAGAGCATTTTTCTTATACCGGTCGTACATTTACTCAATGGTAAGATTTGGAACAAGGTATAATTAGGAACTACGTTGACTGCAGTAGTGTGATGGAGCCTTTGGAAACTTAGAAAGAAACGCAAATACGAAATAGCGTTACTTGCCTGTTTTCCTTTTCTCGTATCACAACCATGATAGTTGGCATTCGGGCTTTTAAACTGCAAAGCGTTATTTGGAATTGTTTTTGATACATTTTTGAACAAGTACTACCGAACAACTTGACAGAGACTAGTACATTTGCACCTCTTTCAACGATAGTAAGGGTGTAAGCTCTGCTTACTTTTTTGTTAAAATAAAGTCAACTTTTCTGTTTAGTTTTCTGGCTACAGTTGATTTTTATTATGAGGAAGTTGTTCTGTCGAGATAAATCTCTTAAATTCTAATATTCTCGAAATAATAGTTTCCGTTGATGAATACTTACTCAAGACTACATTATAACCGCAATCATTTAGATTAACTTGCTTGACATTTGCTTATTCACGTTTTCTGTTAATATAATGCCTCTTCATTTAATCTTTTTTGTTTTATTGTTTTCCAATTTTTGGGATTATCAAACCTTCTTCTCTTGCGTGAATAAACAGTAATAGTATTATCTCCAAAGGTTCCTTTCTTAGAAACCTTCTTGTTTTTTTGAGCGACTATTCCAATGTCATCTAAAACCCACTTAAATTATTGTAGTTAAAACAAAATTACCCTAAATAATCTTAATAATAAGTGAAAAGTTGTAGGTACCTTTCAACTTTTCTTTTTCAAGAGTAATATTAGCTGTTAAGCTATTTTCGTTATCATCATCACGAATAAAAGTTGGGTCTTTTTCATAATCATCCTCAGAATGGTTGAACCAATTAGGAACACTAAACAGAATGTAACATGTGACAATTGGTAGTCCGGAATTCTATTAGTACGTACACTATTATAAGATTTTATTCTCATCTACCTAAGAACTATTTGAGAAAATTAACCAGAATTACCTCTTTAAATATCTAATCCACAACGAGGGCGTATAGAATAAAGTATGTTTGCCTACGACAAAGTCATAACATTGTAATAAATTACCATAAATTGTCTTACTAATAAGTGAAAAGTTGCAGGTACCTTCCAACTTTTATTTTTCAAGAGTAATATTAGCCGTCAAGCTATCTTCGTTATCATCCTCAGAGATAAAAGTTGTGTCTTATTCATAATCATTCGCAGAAATGAAACATAATTTTTTTAAGTAATACGGTTTCAAATGTCCTCAAGGGTATTTCCACTTAAGATTAAATTAATATTCTGATAAGCACCTTCAACAAGTAAAAACCATTATTAATAAAACTGAGAGCCCTCTCATATCGTTGTAGGCAAAAAAAATTGCTTAAGTTCAATAGATCATGCGCATAACCGTTTTAAATTGTATTGGTGCCTGTGTATCTATTTCTTATCTATATTATACAATCCAACCATCTGACTGATTTTCGAATGTGCTGCAATGAATTTTGAAACAAAGTTTATGTAAAGTTTAGAACAAAAAAGGTTTAAGTAGCAATTAAGGAACTCACCCTTAAAATTACAATAATATTCTCCTTCTAATATCAAGATCTACCCCTTCGTCAATAACGTTTCCTGCAAATGTATCAAAAGTAATGATATTTGTAAAAATTTCTTTAGTGTTAACTAAATAAAACAGTTTAAAGGAACGAAGATAGTCACAAAAGCAGTTGTAACCTCGGAAACCTTTTTTGGATGGTGCTAGAAAGGTCACCAATTGAGACACTGCGGACGGAAGCCAGATGGTTGGAGGAGAGCGTGTCGTGGGTTCGAAACTAGCTTTTATAACCGGAAAAGGGTCCAACGTATGAAATAAGTAAAGATTGGATAAGATATATTAAAAAAGATACAGAAATAAACAAAAAGATAAATGGGTAAAATTACAAAAGATAAGATAAGATAGAGACAGGGCGCCACTCATTTTTTTGGGTTTTAAGGAGAAAATTAAGAAACTTTAGGACAAAAAAGAGATAACGAAAGCTATTTAGGTTCTGAAATCAAATCCAAGAAAAAATACTAACAGTTAGTTATTAAATAAATTTGATCAACACACTATATAAACCAATAATAAATATATTAGGTCTATTATCTACTTGCCTACGAAACTTAATCGGCCCGATCTTTCTCATGGTCTGAGATAGAGTAATAATTAAAGGTAAAAAGCAAATATTCAGAGTTATGGTTATATCAGGAAACTTGTTAGATGTCGACAAATAAAATGCATACATAAAACAAAAACAATATATTCAACAACACAATGATATCGGTAGCTGAATGTACACACAAGATAAAAATACACTAACAATTATGAAATGGTGGTATACATATAAAAATAAGCAGTAATATGAATAATAAGTACCTTCACAAATACAACAATATAATAATGCATAGGTTCAATTATCAGCGAACAGAGTCTAATGCTAAGTAAGAAAAAAAAATTCAACCAAAGTTAATTATAGAAAGTCTCTCTTTGCTGTTTAAGGGGCATATCTCGAGATACGGGGTTAAAAATGTATAAAAAATATAGCAAATAACAAAAAATATTCAAATCTAAATTTACAAGAATACAAAAAAGGTTACAGAAACAAAAATTTGACCAACCCGCACTGGTCTTAGTTAGTTATCTATGTCGTATTGTTATTTAATTATTGAGAACTAAATATTCGTAATTATTACTTACTGACATATCTTAGTAGCTGATGGAAAGTTCGTAAGAAAATATTGAATGTTTTTTAAATTGAATGCAAAAATCAGTACAGGTGAAGAAATGGATGACTTTAGATTCGTCCAGATAATGGAAGATGATATGATACCATACCATATTATTCGCCCAGATAATTATTGTAAGTGTATACATACTTCGAAAGAAAATGCACAGAGACGGTAAGGTAACAGATACGATAATGTGAGCGAAGCGTCTCACGAGAACTAAGTTTTTTCTCAACAACGGCCCACTTTATTGTGTAAGTAAGAAGTAAGTCTTTCTTGTTCAAAAATTTACCAAACTACATACAAAAAGGTGAGGGTATCTCCTACGTAAAAATTATGGGACAGTATCTATTTCCAAGAAGGTAAAAAGCTCTAAAAAACATCGAACATAACGACAATCACATCGTGCCTCCGAAGATATTTACCGAATTTTTCAAAAAGAATCAGTAAAAGGATTAACTAAGCCAAACCGGCGTCTCTAAATAAGTAGGTAGGTAGATTCTTTCGTCATGTTTGGTAGTTTTCAATAAAATTTTCTAATCGTCAACACTACCATCGGCGTATCATCCACAGGG